GGCTGCTCTTTTTAATAAATCGACATGAAAACGAGGCCATATCCCTAAAGGTGTGTTTAGTTCAACAGAATGTGAGTCGATAACTTTTGTTACCCGATACTTTGCATTAATCCATGAGAGTTTCTTTGAAAGTTGAGGTGTCTGAATATTTTTTAGGTTCAGCCATACACGGTCTCCCACTTTAAATATTTCAGCCTCTTTTCGTCTTTTATTCGCAAATTCCTCCATAGTATGCTGGGACGATGCCATGGCGGCCTGTGCTAGTTCTTGCGCTTCACGAAGCCTCTCAACGAAATTTATTGCTCTTTTTCTAGGTTCCGATGCAGTGCCAATATGCTCTACTTGTTGAATTGGCTCTATATTGTAGCCATGTTCAACAAAAAACGGGCTCATCCCAATGGCGGTCGAAACCCTATTGTTAATGGCCAACATGGCGCAGGGTAAAAGATCCTTCCAGTCAAATTGGGTGTAGCTTACAAATGCTCTTAGATAAGCTAGGATCTCTTGATTCATACGTTCAGTTGCACCGTCGGTTTGAGGGTGAAAAGCTGTTGATAGACGTTGATTCATACCTGTTTGACGACAAAGTTCTCGCCAGAAGTCTCCCACCCAATTTGAACCTCTGTCAGATGTTATATGGGCAGGGAAGCCGTGATACCTAAAGTGTAACTTGAGGAATACCTTGGCACAGTCTTCCGCTTTCATAGAGCTCATTTCTTCTAAAGCGACACTACCTTTTAAGCGATCGACTATAACCATCAAATATCTTGGGTCAGTGCTTGTCTTTGCAGGTAAGTCTGTCATAAAATCGATTGCAATTTCACTGTTAAACCTATCAGGAATGGGAAGTGGCCGAAGTAGACCCTTTTTTTGTTCTCTCCACACGTGACTGCGGCCGCAAACATCACAATTTCTGCAAAACTTCCGCACATCTTTTGATATTCCAGGCCAAAAAAAATTTCGATTTAATATAGCTAATGTACTGTCTCTTCCAGGGTGTCCAGTGACATGGGAATCATGTGTTTTCTGAATTAGCGCAGTTTTCAAAGGTTCGTAGTCTGCAATCCAGACTCTATTTCTAAAAACTAGTGCTCCTCTTGGGTCGAAGCTACACTCTGCTAATGAGATTTTCAAGTCGCTGAGACTTGGTGGTAGGCTTCGACTTCCATCTCCTAGACTATTATATAGCAGCTGGATCTTCTCATCTTTTTGAAGTGATCTATCCCAGAGGGTCTGAAAATGTTCGTCTGAAAACATATTATTGCCATTAGGGATAGATGAACTATTCTTAGTTTGGGACTTCATCTTATTAGCTGAAGAAAAGGAGAAAATCCATGAGTCTTTGATTAGCTGCAATTCTCGATCTTTCAGGCGGTAATCGTCATACCCTTGTGGCATATCTTGCTCACGTCTTGATAATGCGTCGGGTCTTGCTGCTAATCTTCCCGGTCGATATTTCAGCTTGAAGTCGAACTGCGATAGGAGTTGTGACCAACGCACCTGTCGTTCGTTGAGCCTGCGTGTTGACATAAACGGTTTCAGATTTTGATGATCTGAAAGTACGACAAAGGGTTTATTTAGCCCAATCAACATACCACGCCATTCTTCCATACAGCGAACTATAGCCAATAATTCTTTATCGTGAATATCATAATTAGACTCTGCCGGACTTAGCTTCTTTGATAGATATGCCACTGGACGAAGGGCCCCATTTTTATCTTTTTGAGATAGACAACCACCCAATACGTATCCTGAACAGTCTGCTTCGAGTACAGTTTCTTTTTGATCGTCCCACAGGGCTAGAATAGGTGCAGTAATAAAAAGTTCTTTTAGTATATCGAAAGCTTTCTGCTGCGGCGTTTCCCAACGGAATGATACATTTTTTTTAATAAGGTTCAACAGTGGTTCCGCTACACGACCGAAATTTGGGATGAAATCGCGATAAAAATTTGCAAATCCAACAAAGCTTCGCACCCCTTTTATGGTTGTGGGTGCTTGCCATTCTTTTATTGCTTGAACTTTGAGCGGATCAACCTTAATTCCCTCACTTACTGATATAATAAAACCCAAGTACTTTGTTTCCTTTACTGCAAATTCACTCTTCTGGGGATCTAATTGCAGACCGGCAAGTCCTAAACGTTCAAGAACCATGTTTACCTTAGCCCAATGGTCATTTAAATCTCCAGATGTATAGATTAAAACGTCGTCTAGGTAGGCCGAACAAAAATCTCCCAAATATTCACCCAAGACACTGTTTATGTATCTTTGAAATGAGCTTGGAGCTCCTGTTAGCCCAAAGGGTGTAACCAGCCATTCAAAGGATCCGAATCTAGTTCGAAAAACAGTTTTAGTTTCATCACCCTCCCGGACTCTCAACTTGTGGAAAGCAGCGCGAACGTCTACTTTTGATACCCATGTAGATTTTGCAACCTCTCTAAGCGTTTCTTTTATAAGTGGTAGTGGGTATCTATCCTTAATAGTTATTGCGTTCAGTGCTCGATAGTCTACACAAAAACGAAGACCACCCCCAGGTTTTTTTGCAAACAATACTGGAGCACCACCAGGTGAGGAGCTAGCTCGAATCCAATTTTTGTCTAGATGGTCTGTCAATGTCTTCCTTAGCACCAAAAGTTCTTCTCGCGACATATCGTAAAGGGGGCCGAAAGGGATTTCCTTTTCCCTGCCATTTTCATCTTTCATTAGGTTAATTTTGGTGTCTGCACCTGGACGGTTGGGCGGTAAACTATGATTTGTATCTTCTGTGAAGAAACGAGCATTTTTATAAATTTCTGGTGGCAATTTTGCTCTAATTTCTTCGAAAGTCTGACTACTTTTCACTTCTAAGGCCTTCTTGATGTCTTCCATTGAGGCTGCAAATAATTTAGTCTCGGTATCCTTTGTCTCGCGGATACGTGCCGCTATGGCTGCGAGCTGGGTCCCAAGGATCTGGCGAGCGCTTCCTGCTTTTATTTTTAGACATTTTTATTTTGTCCTTGATGCACTTGACAATCGCTCGTCCCATCCTTTGGCTCTTACAACGAGCCCCCCAGGCGGCCCAAAACGTATGGAGTGTTGACGGGCATTATACAATATGCTATTTGCTCTCATCCATGGGTCGCCAAGTATGACTTCATATGATAAATTTTCAATTATGTACCCCCATACTTTCTCATTTCTGCCATCAATATCCATATCTACGCATGTAATTTCGTTTATAGCTCGCTGCTGAACGTCACTTTTGGCAAGTTTTAATTCTCTACTTTTGATTGAAATTCGCGGTAAATTGTGTCGTTTTACAAATGAGTTGTTAAAAGCGGAATAGCACAGACATCCTGAATCCATGAAAGCATTCACGTAAAAGCTTTTATTGATTAATACTTCTAAGATGAACGGGGAGCCGTCCAGTCTTTTAACAACATTTTTTATATTACAATCCACAATCTTAGATAACCCCTGAGCCCGACTTTGCCCAGAGTTTATTCTTTTCCCGATTCTATGTCACCCTCACCATCGAATTCTTCCTTTCTTATTTTAAAATTTTTTGTGTTGGAGGATGTGGCATTAATAGTAGCAGGTCGCTTTGCCCAGGTAAAGTGAGGACATTTTTTAAAAAAATGTCCTCTCTCTCCACAGCGGTTGCATTTCCCAGCAGTCCGAAGTGCATTGAAGTCGTCACTAGACCGCCATGGAGAAGGAGGCTTGCTTCCATCTATTCTTCCTTTTCCTTTATCCATCCTTACCGCGTTGACAATTGCAGATAAAGTCGCCATACTGATACCATTTATACCTGACATAGTCGTATCTCCGTCTGCATCTAAAAATGGTCTGTTATCTCTCTGGGACGCGCCAGCGACTGCCTTTCCTTCAGATGATGATTTATAGATAACCTCCGAATGACCATTGAAATTTGTTTTGGTATATTTGACACCATCCTTGAAGTTGTGGCTCTCGTTTGCCTCAATTCGACTCGCAGTTTGCTGTACTTGTTTTACAAACAAGGCATAATTGTCCTCCGCAACGTCTTTGGAATAAAGAGCTTTCGTCAGCCTTTTGTTCAATCCCATGTAGAGGAAGTTGATCTTTACTTTTCCTTCCCAGCTCAATCCTCTTGCTTGGGCTAGAGTGTATTCGAAGTCATTGAGAAAATTTGCGAATAGTTGATTGTCGCCTTGCTTCATCTTCGACAGGGTTGATCCAGCTGTGCGAGCTGATGTTTTATCCTCGAATGAATCATTAAAGTGCTGGATAAAAACTTCGTAGTCCCAATCCAAATTAGGTCCTCCACATGAAAACCAGTGAGAAACTCGAAGCTTGCGATCTGTAGGGAGCGTATTCATCATTTCATTACAAACAGCCTTATGCCCCCCCAACATTTCCCAGTCACTCTCGATTTTGGCTGTCAGCTGGTCAATGTATACACAATAAGTTTCCGTGGCCCCATTCCATTCGGGCCACCTTGACAACTGCTTCTTTGCTTCTTGAGGTGGGGGTCTCGGAATATGCGGCCTTGGTGTATCCTGAACAGTTATGAGACTTAGGATATGATTTAATTGCTCTTGCGTGACTGTGAGGGGTGTTGTTGTCTGCTGTGCATCATCTACAGCATCATTTTTCGGCATGATGCTTTTTAGGTGAGCGTTGGAAGTTGATAAAGATTGATCAATTCGTGACTCTGATGATATTTCGGATGATTGCGATGATTCCGAGGAGGAATAGAAATTAAATTTTCCCGGGAACATGTAAACTTATAAAAACCAGGAGAGGTATGAAGACATTCGCTGGTAGTGTAAAAAGGAGAGATAAAATATATGTGAAGGGACTTCACATTTGTTGTTCACAATTATGGGTCCAAAAAATGAATTTATATTTTATCTAAGGAGGAGAACATGTACAACGCGCGCGCAAGATGTTTTGTTCCAATCGAGCGCGTTTTCCCGTGACACTAGCGCGCTTTTGTTCATAGACGGAGCCGGATAGTTCCGGATCCACATACAAGGCTACAGCCTGTAACACACAGTGATTATAGTAACCAACAACACTTGGCTTCACTAAAAATTATAAACAATCAACACCCCCATCAGACTTCCACAGAATTCATCATGAATTATTTGGAGAATCGTAGCGATACAAGATGGGTTTTGTATTTAGACAACTCTTCTGAGAAATTTTATTCTTCTGATCTCAACATACCTACTAAATGTTAGTCTTGTTGCTTCTTTGAATCGGTGAGTGAGGTATAACTAATGTAATCAGATGAACAAACCAGCAGTGGTACTCTGCGAACCACCTATGTTCTCATACTGGATAACAGATGCCGCACAGCTGCTATGTTCATGAGGATTACCATTACTAAGATCAACAGGGCAGGTGAAGGCTTGATAGAGACAAATCATAAAATATGTGGCATTATTAGGAACTAAGTAGATGAATTATCAGAAACAGCATGAATTGAATGGAGATAATGTGTGTTGATCTATCTCGAGCTCAAAGTAAAGCTTGTTTGTTTGTTTTATGTTTAACGTCTATCTAAAACCCAAATGGGCATTAAGGCTTACTGTCTCAGTTGTCGGAGGACTACGACTCCCTATCCAATGGAGGTAAGACCTGATTACCCATGAAATAGCATATCTGATGACAAAGATACGACAACGATAAATGATGGAAAAGATATTTGCGGGAAGAATAGAAGATAAAAGTAAACCCCTTTAGTGTAAACGCAATACCCATAAATGAGAGGGCAAGTTAGTACGAAATAAACTGGTACGAAGCAAGCTGAAGGTTTGCCACGTTGACTTCTATCTTTTCAAAGTTCCATCTGATCATCTGACGCTCCGGCCGATGTCTTCAAGATCTCGAAAGGGTCTAAGAAAAGATTCCGCTTGACTGCAGCTGCGATTCTTGATGGTCCTGCTCCCTGGGAAACTGCTGGATAGCTAGTGTTGTAATGGCTACAAAGTCGGTATTTCCTGTAGCCAGTACTGGCAAGTACTGGCGTACAACCACCAGAGAACGGGCAGGCGCAAAAGCCCCGTAAAAGATACTGGAATCTCCTAAGAAGGGACCAGAAAAGTCTCCATAGTTGTGAAAGGTTTAAAGAATTCAGAAGCACTTGAAAGACGCTAACTCAATAGGAATTGATAATTATTCCTTGGGAAGCTAATCCGCCTACGACGGCTCCTGTCCTTTATGTCCTCCTCAGCGTCGCATTTAAGCTCCCCTCCAAGCCTACCTGGGAATACTCCATTCTCCCCGGCTGCCCTCTTTCCTGTGACATCCTTCCCCCCCCCTTAGTACGTACTCCCTTGGGCCATTCCTCATGCGCAACCTTGCAATTATCCTTATGCAACACTGAGACTCGTTCTGGTGCGCAACCTTGCATTAATCCTTAAGCGGCATTTAGGTCTTTCCTTATGGGCAACCTTGCATTCTTCCCTATGCAACCTTTCGCGTGTCTGTAAGCGCTGCTTTGTTGACGCTTAAATATCTAGCCGGGGTGGTCCTGGTACCCAGTCCCAATCCGGGCACAGCCTGTCAAAATAGTATTAAAATGTATAAGCCACTACTTTGTTTTTGGACTTGTTGGTAGAGGGAAGCTTATGCAATAATGAAGGATAAAAGGATGTCAATTTGACTACACCACTAAACATAGGTACCAGACTCCTTTTAATCCCAATAGATAGCCCGTGCGGGATCTCCTATTAACAGCAGTAAACAACATTAGCACAGGGTATACGCAATCTATATTTGCCAAACACCAGCTGGTCAGGACTACTAGTTATCGAGCCTAGTAGGATCGACAAAGTGTATCCCAACACAGAAATAATAGAAAACTTAACAACCAAACCCTTCATCAATCACTTCCATTAACCATCACCTGACTTATTTCTGTACTCCATAATTTCAACACATAGTAGCAACTGGTGTCACAGATCAACTATAGAAAGCAGGGAGCATTTGTATGGATGATGGTATATTAACAATTCAACTATGTAGAACTAAGCTATAGATACTTAGCCAGGTATTTATACCAATTACTATATTCCAAGCCCTTCCATCTAAGGTCAGTTCATTTCTAGATAATTCTAGTTGCAACTCTGAGAATATGGTTTCTAGTAGCTTCTCCAAGTTTCAGTTACAGTCTTGTTCATGTCGAATCTTATCTAGTACCTTTGACAATGGTTCTGGTATGTTCTGCAAGGCTATTGCGCCGGCCCACCCCCCTGGTGGTTATACACCAGTACTTGCCATTACTGGCTACAGGAAAATACCGGCTTCTTAGCCGTTACAACTGGAATCATCTAGAAGTGAGCTGATCTTGGAGGGAAGAACTTAGAAGTAATAAATCTGTATTTATACCTGGACTAGTATGTAGAGCTTAAGTCTTCATAGTTGAATCATAAAATACCATCATGCATACAAATGCTCCTTGCTTTCCATAGTTGATCTGTGACAAGTGTGATGAACTATATGAGAGATGCTGAGGCCCTACGCAGTGTCAAAGGGTCTAAATTATCCTGCTTCTGCCTGGCGGCAGATTTGTGCCTCAGAGAATGTCTTCCGGATGGTAATAACCTGTGATTTTGTTTTGATGGATTAGAGGGTTGTGGCCGTAGCTCACAAATTAGGCCGCCTGCTGGATGAGAGCCGTGACAGTGGATACATCGCGTTGGGAAGGTGTGTCCAGCTAGTGCAGCGCAGAGATTATTGTGATCCTTCTCTGTGTGTTGAGTAGACTCATGAAGACGGCATCTTGGGGTAGAGGAACAAGCGCGGCTGTTGTGCCAAAGCCAGCTCGTCCTGAACTGTACTACTGACGAGCGTTTAGGATGGATTTGGATGACGGTGCGGCATCCAAAAAGATAGAGAATACGTGAAAGACGGCTATGGTCCTGAGGAAAGCGGACAATCCAGCTTGTATCTGGGCTGTCTGGATATGTCTCATTATCCTGGGGCGCAATTACGGAGACAAGAGTATCGCTAGCTGCTGTTGCTACAGCAGCTATTACGGCCTCGGTTGTGACTGGCTCGAGGCAGTATTGCATGTTTGGTTTGTTATCTCGTAGAACTGAGGGACGTTTTTAATACAGTAGAGCGTCCAGGGCGAGGCTTTGTCAATGGTAGCAGTCCCAAAGAGATCAGCTGTTGCCAGTTTCTCGTTTAAGGCATCGGCGTTACCAGTGCTAGGGGGGAGATTTTATGGTTTCTTTTCCTACATTTTTCTTTTGGGACTTAATAGTACTGCAGGGGCTAGACTTGGAAGTTGCGGCGTTAGTTTCTTGGCATGTAGATATTCTAGTATGGAGAGAATACGTAGGAGAGAGAAGATAGAGAATTCAATTAGACAATTTTTACTGCTACCCATTTAATGCTATTAAGTACATCACAATTAACTTGGTAGGAGAGCGAACCCTGTCTTTGTTGACATAACAATTGAAAGAATTTGGCTTTGACTGTCAAGCTTAGAGTTGAAGTGAGTTTTTATTGCATAGCTCGATGCGGTGCGTAGAGGACTGTTGGAGGAAAGGCAGACAAACAATCTGTCATCCGTTAGGTGTTTGCAGTTCGTGCGTGAGCATTTAGCTTTGCGAAGGGAGGGGTTTGCTGTACGCCTCGTTTAGAAGCGCCCACAATGCTTTGGGAAGCCTTTACTTTTGCTGTCTTCACAGGCTATGAGGAAATGGTTAAACTGTCCTTTGCAGCTATTGATGGTGACATGAATTGAGATGATGATTGTGATTGAGATCGATTTCTGTATTCTTTATTATACATGATATGCTCAGGTTCATATACCTCGAGCCAAGCAACCAGATCATGTTTCTCTAGATCTAGATTCATCAGAATAATTACTCACTCAGTAAAATTCTCCTAGTCTCAGTTGTGGGTTTAGGATCTTGACTAGGTTTTTAGTAACTAGTAAATGATGTTTCTCATATCACTGAGGCATAGTCATGGTTGATACAACAGGTACAAACGATGAATCGTGCCTGTACATGACGTTGTGATATAGTCATGATCGTCTGAACAATATCAACTCATGAATGACTCATGTCTCTACATGACACAGGGCGTGGTTTCTCGATAGTTGAGGTACCGTGTATGTATGCGTTGAAGTACTTAGTAGCAATAGTTGCTAATTCTGAGGTGCAATCGAGGAGGGCTTAAGCTCGAGTTTGAGACTATGGTAGAAAAACGCGAGCGTGAGAAGAGCATCGGTTGTCGAGAAGTCGGGCTAGTGGTCGTGGTTTCATTACATAATTCATGGGCAATCTTGTAGGTAAAATATTTTAATTATAATTCTCTGAAGAGAAAATTTGTCAGACAGATTACCCCAGATTTAAATGTTGTATCATGATGTTTAAGTTGAGTAGTTTACAAGCAACGGGGCTGATGCATCAAGGGCAATAACTTAGTCATGCAAATGTTACAACTAGCAACAAGATGGATGGCAAATTTCCTGCGCAAAACTCCCCTGTTGTTTCACCTTCTCTATTGCCCATGATAATGTAACAGCCAATTTCAGAAGCATGTATGGAACGTGTCACGGCGTAGAATAGGCACAAGTGAAAGTACAGCTTGTATGGCGATAATTCAATCTGTGAAGCAAATACTAAGCTGGAGAAGAATAGAAAAGAACAGGATCTCATTACAAAAAGCCCTGAGGCTATTCCTATTCGGGCGGGTTTCCACTAAATTGCCGCGTCCGTGCTCCTTCCTGCATCAGCCATCAGTCTCACATCCTCCCTCCACGTAATTGTATATCATGGCGGAGCAGAATGCCGTGCCGTGACATCACCCCCTCCTCAGCCTTCGATTGTCCCAAATCGACTAATTTCTGCGGCGGCGTTGGTTGTCACGACCTTGGTTGGTCACCATATTATCTTCCGGATGTTCCTCACTAAATCTATCATGTGCGGCATCGTCCAACCACGTAGCGAGACGTCTTGGTGGCCCTGGCAATTTAGGGTGCTCAGCGTGGAACTTTTCTAATATGAGGGGTGCGTTCCGAAAGTTGGCAGCCGGATACCATTCCTCATCTGCGTCCCATCCTTCCCATTGAACCTTGTACTGCAGCCGATTGCGATACAGCCGCGCGTCTAACACCTTCTCGATCTCCCATTCTAACTCTCCATTGACCTCTTCTGCCGGCGGCTCTGGATTGGCCTGGCCGGGCAACGGGTTATCTGGATCTTTGCGCAGTCGGTCTGGTGAAAATACAGGGTGTATTTTCCAAGAGGCGGGTAGTTGAACGCGGAATGAATGCCCTTCTTTGGCAATGATCCGATATGGTCCCACCATTGGATTTTCCAGCTTATCCGACGGTCTCGTAGTTCTCCAAGCACCGCGCCGGATATACACTTTATCTCCAACGTCAAAGTCTACTTCTCGGCGATGTTTATTGGCTTGAACACGCTGTTGTTCC